CGCGTCCCTCGAGCTGGAGCAGGCGGCGGCTCCCCGGGAGGCCTCTGGGGGTCGCTGGCTAGGTCCTGGCTCCTCCTCCCTCCACCGCCTGCCCCGCCCGTGGAGCCACCATCTTGACCTCGCCCGCCGGCCCGGGCGGTTACTGCTGTTACGAGAGCGGGACGCGCCGCCGTGCTCACGCGAGACCGCGGAGCCCGCGCCGCCGTCACGTCATAATCCAGCGCTCGGGCGCGCCCCGTGTCATCACCACGCACAGCGAGGCCGGCCGTGCGTCATAATCAAGCGCTCGGGGGCGCCCCGTGTCGTCATCACGCACAGCGCGGCCGGCGGCTCTCGGGGCGTTGCCATGGTTTCGGCCCACGTCGGGGAGGCCCGCGAGGCCCGCTCAGCTTGGGCGCCCCCCAGTGGCTCTCGAGCTCGGAGGCGACGTGTCCTCCCGCCGAGGCGGCCGACCTCACCCGCCCAAGTTTGACCCACGGGAAGGACTCCCTGCTTCCTAGGGCCGAAATAATCAGCTGTTTGACCCGCCGTCGTCAAACGCCCCATTAACTGCTTAGGCGTAGTGCGTAATGCATTGGGCTGCTAACCAAAAGGTTGGCAGTTTGAATACAACTTCCACTGGGGGGGGGGGGGAATGGACAGGCTTAGACCGTGACTCAGAACCACAGCAACACGATGAGTCAAAACAGTCTTATTATTAAATAGTTATTACTAAGGCAGTGGGGGCTGCTTAGGAGAAAAGCCAAAGGACAAATCCTTGCACACCTAGACTACCCCACCTGGAGATGGAGTCTGAGAGTAAACTCTCCAAGGAAAACCCCCGGGTCCTGTTGTGTTTGTGGAGCTCCACAGTCTGGTTGGGGAGCTCTGCTGCCCACTATCTGTCTTGGAGAAAGTGCCACGTGGACGCTCCTCGGAAGCAAGGATGGTAAAGCTTCATCTCACATCCTTTGGGCATGTTGTTAGGCAGGGCCAGTCTTTGGAGAAGGGCAGGATTGGAAAGGTGGAGGGTCAGAGAAAGAGCGGACGCTCCTCAACAAGGTGGACTGACACAGTGACTGTATCAGAGATGAGGATGGCACAGATAGGGCAAAGTTCGAATCTGTTCATAGGGTCTCTATGAGTCGCGGTTGACTTGAGGGCAGGCTCATCACAACAACAATAAACTGGTTTGGGTAGGTCTGTTGGCCTACTGGTAAAGAGATGCACTTGCCAACCTAAAAGCAAGTTTGAATCCACCAGTGGCACCATGGGAAAAAGATGGGCAATCTCCTGTGAGATTTACTGCCTCTGAAAACCTGCTGGAGGGTCAGCTATGAGTCTGTTCCATCAGCAAACAACTGGGTTAGGAGTGGTAGGAACTATAAAAAAGAATCATGCTGCTTGTTTTGCACGCAACCCTATCTTCTTACCTTCTGTTCAGTTGTTCAGAACTAAAGGATTTCATGAGGCCACATGTTACTACTGGTTAAAATTACTTTGACTTCAAGGCAAGAACACAGGCCTCCTTGTGTTTGATAGTCCCATCTGGCTAAAGTATTCTGAGCAAATAATGCAAGAAACTGGACAATACGGGGAGAAATGCAGCATCAGGATTGGACAAAGACTCTAACAATACCTGCCTGCAGTATACAGGTGACACACCTTGCTGGCTAAAATCAAATAAGATTTGAAGCATTTACTGATGAAGATGATATAAAGCTACAGGCTCTAGTATGTATTAAACTACATCATAAAACAAAAGTCCTTATGACTGGACTGGAAATGGAGTAATGGATTGAATTGTCAAGGACTTCATGTCACTTGGATCCACAATCAACACCCTTACAAGCAGCATTTGAGAAATGAAAGGACATACTGTGTTGGGAAAAGCTGTTGAAAAATAACTCTTTAAAGTAATTTTGAGCACTAACGGGAGCTCTGGTGGCCTCGTTCCAAGAAGCAGCTCTGCAATCCTGAAGGCAAGAAGAGTTCGAGGTCACCAGCTTCTCCGTGGGAGAAGGATGGGCAATCTCCTCCCATACAGTTGCCTCTGAAAACCCACTGAAGGGTCAGCTATGGGTTGGTAATGACTTTACAAAACACAACAACAGTGTCTAACCCAAACTGTGGTATGCACTCTTATTTATGCAAACACTGCACAATGAATAAGGAAGTCCAAATAAAAACTGACGACTTTGAAATAAAGTGTTGGGGAGGAATATACCTTGAACTGTCAGAAGAGGAAATAAAGCTATCTTGCAAGTTCAGCCAGAATACTCCTGTAGAAGGAAGGAGGAAGAGATGTTGTCTCTCCAATGCTCAGAGGACATCATCTTGGTAGAGGAGCAGTGGAAGAGAGGAAGACCCTCAACGAGATGGACTGGCACAGTGTCTGCAACAGTCATCACAAGCACAGCAGTGACTGAGGACAGTTCAGGACCGTCGTGTTCTGATGTATGGAGTCACCATGAGTCAGAGCCAACTCCATGGCACCCAACAACAGCATGAGGGAAGGAGGCCTTGGGAATTCTTTAGATGAGGTCATTCCCGTTCTTTACCCAACCTTACTTGACTTTCCATACAAGTGATGCTTTCTGACCATTCTTCGCTTTCTCTTTCTTTGCTATTGTAGAGTACAACAGACATAGCCATCTCAGATTGACAGGGAGAAAAACAAGAATCAAAAAATCTGGTTCACCTGGCTCCTAGCCCACCTGTATTCTGCAGTGTGTTTTCTATTATAGTTCTGTGTGGGTGGTCCTTTTGATTTCTTGATTGCCACTGGTGTTGATTGTAGATTCAAGTAAAATGAAATTGTTGCCGACTTCAGTCTTCTCTTAATCTATCATAATGTTGCCTATTGGTTCAGTGATGAGGATTTTTCTTTTCAGTAAATCAGAAGACATGATGCATTGGAAAAATTGCTGTCAAGGAACTCTCCAAAATGCTAATGAGCAATAATGTTAAAGACTAAGGTGTGCCTGATTCAAGCCTGGCATTTTCAGTTGCTTCTCATGCATCTGAAAGGTGGACGATGAATGAACTAAAAAAGAATTGAAACCTTTGAATATTTCTGTTGGCAAAGAGGTCTGACTCTTCATGGATTACCGAAAGAACAAACAAGTCTGTCCTGGAGGAAAGGCAACCAGAGTGCTCCAAAGAGGTAAGGATGATGAAACTTCACCTCATATGCTTTGGGCATGTTGTCAGGAGGGCCCAGTCCTTGGAAAAGGACTGCATGCTGAAAAGGCAGAGGGTCAGAGATTGGGGAATTAGCCTGTCAGTATCTCAACAGAGCGGGAGGATTTTAGGAAAATTATTAAACTTCACTCAACCTCCCTTCTTTGGATGGAGGTAAAACTATCAAGTTCCTAAGATTCTTAAGTCTCATGTTGTTAGCTGCCTTTTGTTATTGTATGGTCTTTTTTTTCTGGTACTTGGCTCTGTGAGTGCTAAGGTTATTACATCTTGCTTTCATATCTTTACATTCACCTTATTTTACTCTAGCTATTATGTCTCTTTCCTTTTTTTTCTATATTTTATTAATTTTCATAAACATTTACAGAGATTTTTGGGTTTCCATTCATTCCTTGTTGCACTATTCTCTCTACCCTCCTCCCAGTTTGTTCTTGTCCAAATGCCACAGTGCTTGTCAAAGCCAGTTCTGATTAATCTTC